TTGAATCATTATGTATGAACTACCATAGACAAAATTTATTTTAGTACCCATAAAATATTGAAATTTTGAAGGAAGGGTTTTAGTGCTTTGGGAGGATTTTCTTTGGAGGATTTAAGGATGGAAATTAAAAACATGAACGATTTCATACAATGAAAAGGCATGAAGGATATTCAGTCTGCACTGGTAAAGGGAGAAAGTATTGATAGAAATAAAATCACAGATTCACATAAGCACAAAGTACAAAATCCTTTCTCCTTAGAATATTCCTCTTCTTTTTTCATTGTTTATATTTTAATAGACATGAATATTTCTTTTAATCTCTCTTTCTCTCTCTAGTCTGTGTCTCTCTCTGCCTGTTCTAATTCTATGCTTTTTTTCTCTACATGCTTGTACGTGCAATCCATGGTAGCTGTCTGAAATGGTGAAATCATTCACAGGGTGATGAAGTTCTACAGGGTGGAATGTTATGGATTATATTAGATATTCCCAAATTTTCTCAGTTCATAGTTTCCATTAAGGAATTAAATAATTTTGTTCATGGCTCCTCTAGACCAGAAGAAATATCAAGCAGTTCCATTTATTAAGTAATTAAATTGAAATGTCTCTAACAATTTAAAAGCCATTTGAAAATATGATACCCCTAAATGGAAAAAAATATTTTTATTTTTTCTTAAATAACCACAATTACTTACTGATTGGCACCACACAAACCTTGAAACCAAATTGGGCACCATCATACTCATATCCTGTTCCACACCAATTTTTGCTTTTATCATAGTAACTGAGGAAAACTCAGCTTTATAAATGTGAAGTTATGGAGTATAACAGTTTGTTCTGACATCTATGGCTGAAGCAAGTGCTGCGAATGTTTAGTGTTTGTTTAAAACATCAAAGACACCAAGGTTATCCACTGCATCCCAGGTCATAGCCAGTCATCTTGACATTTGTCTTGCCATCTGACTTCAATGACTTTGGAAGAAAGAGCGAGGCTGATGACTTTTTGCAACTCTGCCTCACTTAAATCCAATATGCAGGAGTCAGGACCACCCTGTGGTGTTATTGGCCCTCTTTCAAAAAGAAGGACAAACAACAACAATAATACTGGTGTAGCTAAAAATGAAAGTAAACAAAGCATTCTCAGAACGTAATCAAAGGGAATTGAGCTAGTAGCTTGAAGGGTACCCTATAGATATCCAGTATCACTGTATTTTCCTCAAAAAAATTGAATATTTCTGGGGACCACAAAATTATATGCTTCCCAAAGCAAAGCAAAAAGCTCATTTAGGGGCTTTCCTCTTAACAAAAGTCCAAGTTGTAAACAAGATTTAAGTAACATGAAGTAAACTGAATTAGTGAAGGAAAGGAGATAATTCCATCAGAGACAATTGCCTAGTTCATTTCTCCTATTGTTTGCTATTGGCCTGGTCTTCTTCAAGAGTGGCATAGTAGAGGTGTTAAATAAAGGAAATCATTCCCCTAGAGCCCACTGAAGGGTGGAGTTGTGAAAGGATTGAATCCTTCTTTGTGTGGTTCTGTTAAGAGGGAAGAGCCTGTTGCTCAGTCTTTTCAGCCCCCTCCAACTCTTCCTGACCACTTTTGGGATTTTCTTGGCAAATATACTTCAGTGGTTTGCCATTTCCTTCTCCAATCCATTTGACAGATGAGAAACTAAAGCAAATGGGATTAAGAGACTTGCCCAGGGTAACACTGCTAGTAAGCCTCTGAGGCCAGATTTGACCTTAAGAAGTGAGTCTTCCAGACTCCAGGCTGATACTGTATCATCTGTGCCACCTAGCTGCAGGGAATAGCCACATTAACTAATTATTAAACTAATTTTATTAAATTAATTGCTAATTATTAAACTAGTTTATTTAAACTGAAAGTCAACTGATTATTGTTTTGAATCAGGTGGTAAAGATTGGTAACCCCACCAAACATTTGTGATCTTAGTCAGTCTGTTACTATTCATATGTAAAGCCCACAAGTTGCATAAACTAAATCATTAAACTAATCATCGCTAGCCACACTCACAGCTTGGATAGATAGATAGATAGATAGATAGATAGATAGATAGATAGATAGACAGATAGATAGATAGACAGAAGACAGACAGATGATAGGTATGCCTGCATGTGCGATATATAATATACATGATATGTAACACATTATGTTTTATATAATGTCTTTATATTATAATTATTATATCATGTTATATATAGCATAATTACATCATGTAATTACATGTATTATAATATCACATCATCTATTTATATTTAAATATTTGTTATACATTATTATATCTTTAAGTTATTATACATTATATATTTTATGAATATGCACATATCTATCCATACATATAGATAAATAATTTTACATATTTATAATTCTATCATCTCTCTCTGTCTGCCTGTCTCTCTCGTTCCCATCATGCAACTGGTCAAAATGCTATGCCATTTATGGTATTGTATTTTGCTTCCCTACTGTAATGCAAAATGTTAATTTTAATCAACAAGAAATGCACAGTTCTTAGTGCCTTTAACAGGCATATGCAGTAACAACATTATTAGTCAATTCTTTGAAAAAAAAAACCAAATCGGTTTTTTGATATCATAAAGGAATATTTTAATTTTTAATGGTTAAACGATACTAATTCCACTAATTTCATTAATTGTACTACCTTATTTTAAGCCTAGAAGAATCTAAAATATATGTGGTTTCATCTTCCACAGTTTTAGTGAGTTTATTTAGATGAAAAGATGAGTTCAATCACAATTGCTCTGAGCTCCAGTTAAGAACATTCCTAACACTTTAGGTAACCTTTTCTCTCTTTGTAGTTGAAGCAAAATTCAGCTTGCTGGAAACATTTGAGGAAATATTACATTATTGTGTTTGTAGATTGACTAGAACCAGGAAGGGAAAATAGAAAGGGAGCAAATTTTTCCTCAGGACTTCACTCAGTCCTTGAGTAAATGAGTAGATTGATGTATCAGCTTAGTCTTCTGCTCTGTGATGCCAGTGAACACAGGTATTATTGATTTCAAGCTCAGCATTTTTATTCAACATGTTTCAGTGCTTCTGTAACAAAACTGTTAAGCTAAAAGAGTAAACAGAGACTTTGCAGTGCTTGAATGTCATTATAATTTTTTGCTAGCCTAAATTAGTTAATTTAATAATTTTAAATTAACATGAACTTTGCAACAGATTCCTTAGTTATCAGAAAATGCAACTATCCCCAACTACCCTTGAGGACAAGACAGACCATAACTGAACTGATTATAATTGGGATACAGGAATTGAACATCATCTCTACAGTTACCCACTAACTTTTCTTTAACTGAATTTACAAGGTGGCAGTATAATATTATTTTCTAAAGAATAGATTATAATCTCAGCTCATTATAAAAAGTAAATGTGCTTACTATTTCTTTTTCTAATTGTCAAATAATTCAATTGAGGATTTATAATGTAATAGCCATTGGTCAAAAGATTGCTTAACCACTAAAAAACTGTTTTCAGTTTGAGGGTGTTTTCTTTATTTGGAAAATGTGTGTTGTGTGTGTGTATACATATGTAGTGCGTGCTATATATAAAATGAAGTTATTTAAATAAGTTTTTATTTCTCTGCTATTATAAGTATTGCCTTGTGTTTTGACAGAACTGCTATTTTGTCAAGACTCTAACTCAGATATCACAAGTAGCAATCCTAAATTTGGTTCAATATGCAATTTATAGAGCAGATGGATTTTTACTTTTAAAAAATCTACTTCCAACTTGAATGTTGGAACCAAAAGATCTAGATTCTGACTTGAAGTATATGATTACCTAGCTATAGCATCTTGGAAAGGATAGTCCTGTAAGATTTCATTTTATTCATCTGCAAAATATGGGAAGTGAACTAAATGATCATCAAACTGTCTCTCTCCTCTTGAATTTTATTCTAGGTAGATTTATGTTTTCTCTCTGGGAAAAATATTATATTTCAGTCCAAGTAAGACAATGTCTCTTCTCTTCTATCTGATACTCCATCATTTTTCATTATGCCCACCTTTTACCTTAATTTATAAGAAATTTCCACCTTTAAATTTCTACTTTAGAACTTTTCACAAAATTTCCATATTAAGAAATAATTAATGCCTTGGGATCTTTTAAGTCATTTTTTAAAGTTGTTTATTCTTGGTGAGGTAAAATTATTATACTTAACCAAATGTTAAAATAATGTTTGAGATTTGGTTTATATTTCTAAACTTCATAATTTTAATAATGTATCAAATAGACTAAAGTAATTCCTTTGAAGCTTTGTCATTTGTGCTTGATAACTTGTTATATAGTGGAGGATTTTATTCCTTTTCAGAATATAAACAACAGAAATGTAAATGAAAACACACTTTTTTTAGGGTCTCGGCTTTTAAAGTACTGACAATAGCTATATGAAGCAAGTGCTATAAATGCTATCCTCATCTTACAAATCATGAAACTAAATTCAAAAAGTTGTTTGGGGTACTAAGCATTTAAAATTCACATATAGTCATGCTATTAGTATGGGTCCTAATTAAGACTTGAACTCACCATGCCTCAGAGCTTCTGTAACAAAGTTGTTAAGCTATAAAATTAAACCAAGACTTCACACTGTTTAAATGTCATTATGATTTTTTGTTAATCTGAATTAATTTATTTAATAATATTAAAGTAACATGGACCTTGGAACAAATTCCTTAATTAGTTATCAAAAACTGGTAGAGAAATTTAGTTACTTTCTGTGTTCACACATCAAGCAAATGCTGAAGCAAGGCCATTTTCAAACTCCAAATCTAGTTCTCTTTCCATTACTCCATGGCGCTATATAAAATCCAACATACTGATTGGGCTTTAGGTTTTGGTGCTGGCTCAATGGATGTTTATGTTCTGCTTGATAAACTTTATGGCAAATAATCGTTCTAGAGAGTATATGAGGATCAATTTGTCACTACAGTTAACACTATATTTTGTGTCCTCTTTTATAGGATTCTAAACTTGATCTACAATGGAAAAACTGCTTTTTTCCCTGTTGTTCATTGGCATAGTCGTGAGAGCACAGATCTGTCCAAAGCGTTGCGTGTGTCAGATTTTGTCTCCTAATCTTGCAACTCTGTGTGCCAAGAAAGGCCTCTTATTTGTTCCACCAAACATTGACAGAAGAACTGTGGAACTCCGACTGGCAGACAATTTTGTTACAAATATTAAAAGGAAAGATTTTGCCAATATGACAAGCTTGGTGGACTTGACCTTATCCCGGAACACAATAAGTTTTATTACACCCCATGCTTTTGCTGATTTACGCAACTTGCGAGCTTTACATTTGAATAGTAACAGACTGACCAAGATCACAAATGATATGTTCAGTGGGCTTTCCAATCTCCATCACCTGATTCTAAACAATAATCAGCTGACTTTAATTTCTTCTACAGCATTTGATGATGTTTTAGCCCTCGAGGAGCTTGATTTGTCCTACAACAATCTCGAAAATATACCTTGGGAAGCTGTTGAAAAAATGGTTAGTTTGCATACACTTAGTCTGGATCACAATATGATTGACTACATACCTAAAGGGACTTTCTCTCACTTGCACAAGATGACTAGATTAGATGTAACATCAAATAAGTTGCAGAAGCTACCACCTGACCCTCTCTTTCAGCGAGCTCAGGTACTAGCAACCTCAGGAATCATCAGCCCATCCACTTTTGCATTAAGTTTTGGTGGAAACCCTTTGCACTGCAATTGTGAATTATTGTGGCTGAGACGCCTTTCAAGAGAAGATGACTTAGAGACTTGTGCTTCTCCTACACTTTTGTCTGGTCGGTACTTTTGGTCAATTCCAGAGGAAGAGTTTTTGTGCGAACCTCCACTCATTACTCGGCATACACATGAAATGAGAGTATTAGAAGGTCAAAGAGCCACATTAAGGTGCAAAGCTAGGGGAGACCCAGAGCCTGCAATTCACTGGATTTCTCCAGAAGGAAAGCTTATTTCAAATGCAACAAGATCTCTTGTCTATGATAATGGAACACTTGATATACTTATCACAACAGTAAAGGATACAGGTTCTTTTACCTGCATTGCATCTAATCCTGCAGGGGAGGCAACACAGACAGTGGATCTTCATATAATCAAACTCCCTCATTTGTTAAATAGTACAAATCATATTCATGAGCCTGATCCTGGGTCGTCAGATATTTCGACTTCTACTAAGTCAGGTTCTAATACAAGTAGTAGTAATGGGGATACTAAAATGAGTCAAGATAAAAAAGTTGTAGTAGCAGAAGCAACATCCTCTACTGCACTACTTAAATTCAATTTTCAAAGAAATATACCTGGAATACGTATGTTCCAAATTCAGTACAATGGTACTTATGATGATTCACTTGTTTACAGGTAAGAAAATGTTAAGCAAATTCTGCATTCTTGCTAGCAGAGTTCAGTGTATGACTTGCTATTGTTTACTCTTTTGTTAACCAGTTATGACATCGACTAATATGAATAATGTGTATTTCTGCTAGTAATTATTATAAAGCTAAAAGATAGACACAGCAAAATATTTTCAATTAAATAAATGGTTTTAAACTGTCTTTAATATCATAAATTTACATATGAAGTTTTTCAATCGCATGAGACCTGACTATGAGACAATGAGACCGATTTTAGTGTACATATCAGAATTTACTCGTTCAAAGGATCATTGTGTCTTCACAGACCATTTTTGGAATTCACTTTTTGAAATTGTCCATAGAGACTAATTTCATTATTCTGAATGTGCTTAATAATCAATCAATAGGCATTTATTAAGCATGTATAATGTGCTAGATACTGAGCTAAGCATTGAAGATACAAATAAAAAGTAATAACTGTCCTTTTACTTCCCTATTCTAAGGTATAGGACTGAACCTGTAATTTTTTTGGTATAGGAAAGTCCTAGTTGAAGAAACTCTATCTACTACTATTTCTGAAATGTATAATCTTAGAGAATTTCCTAGCAGCTGAAGTGGGACTGAAAAGGGCTACCATAAATGGCCTCCTGGTACAAGTAAGTAGGTCAGTAAAGTAGGAGGAGAACCAAGGGAGAGCAGTGTTATGAAAACCCAGAAAATAGAGAATATTCAGGCTTAGGTGGTCAATCGTGGCAGATGTTACACAGTGGTCAAGAAAAATGAAGATTAAGAAAAGGCCATTATGTCTGGTAGTTTATGAAAACCATTGGTAACTTTGGAGAAAGCAATTTCAGTTAAATGATAAAGTAAAAAACTGGATTGAAGAGGATTTTAGATAAGATTGAAGACAGAGAAAGTGGATGTATTGCATGTAGATGGCTTTTTCAAGGAATTTAGCTGAAAAGGGAGAGATATGACACAATAATTCATGGAGATTGTATGATCTATGTAGTGATTTTTAATGATGAGGAAAACTAGCATGTTTCAAGGAATCAGGGAAACTGATAAGGAAGACTGAAGATTAGAAGGAGGGGTCTTGGTGGGGGAAATCAGATGGAAAAAAATGGACGATATCAAATATATGTGCGAGACATTGTGTTAACCTGATCTTGGTAAGGAGAGGGTTTTCCTTTCTATCAGAGACCAGGACTGGGGAGAAGGTAATGAAGGATGATGTCAGGAGAATGTGAGATGAGATTGGCAAAAGGAAGAGCTTTGGCAAATTGCCAAAAAAAAATTCCAGTGAAGCATGGGGTAAGATTCTCATGTGAGAGGTTGTGAGTAGATGATGCCTAGAGAGGAGAAGAGCAAGTTTGGAAAGTCACTATTGTGAGGCTCAAAGAGTACTAATTAGAGGAAAGTAAAAAGATTACCTTATTGCAATGAAGGCCCAGTTGAAATTAGATGACACAGTAGTGGGAAATCTTTATTCTTTGAGCATACATTTGATTTTTGAGAGCAAATAGTCATTCAGAATCAACTTTAGTGAATAAAACATACGATTGTTTAGTTATTGGTTTAAAGTATTTCTGATTAAAAAGTAATTGGACCGATTTTCCTTGTTAGTTCTGAAAGCAATTCCAAAAAGGAATTCCAAACAGGTTTTGAGTTATAGGAGCATCACTGAAATAAATATATGATTGAATATATATATGTGTGTGTGTGTGTGTGTGTGTGTGTGTATGTGTGTGTGTGCATGTATATATATATATATATGGTATATTATAAATGTGATAATATATTATATTTAAATTATATAATAATATAACTATATTTTTAGTATAAATATAAATATAAGATTATGGCTTTGACAGACAATACATTTAGAGATATAATATTTGGTGTGTTTTAATCAGGCTAATTTATGGTCACACTTCATGTAACATAGCTTCCAAGTTTAAGAGGAATATATATTTTCTTACATAAATTCCCTTATGCTTAACTATTTTTCTTTTTTGTTACCTGCTATAGGCAAATTATAAATCTGAAGTAACGTTATTTGTTAGAACTTTTTTTGTATATAGAATGACACAACAGTTCATCTTAGTGTTCCTGTGCAATCATTTGAACACTTAAAAGTAAGAAGTCTTCCCTTTTGAGTAAAAATGAAAAGGATTTTCAAAATTTAGTACAATGAAAGAGAGCTTAGCTAAGATTCAGTAGACCTGAATTTGCATCCTGCCTCTGCCATTAACTAATTGTATTACCTTGAACAAATTACCTTGCCTCTCTCTCAGTATTGGTATCTAAAAAATAGAGGATTTGGACAAGCCAGTCTTATGACCTATATATTAATGCAAGGAAAAGTATCCTTGTCATTCTAATTTCTTTGCAATCCATAAAACACAAAAAATGAATTTACCATCTTTTGGAAAATTCAACAGTGATTACTTGATCAGCAGTTTATCTTTGTAGAAAAGTTCTTCCTCCATAATTATAGCATTAGCTCTGAAAAGTGGTATGTCTAATTTTATTTTAAAATTTCAAATTTTATTTTATAAAGGTTATTTTGCCACAGAATGTTGAAGGTTTTGCAATCCATTGAGAAGCAACACAGATTTTGTAAATTTACTTCTAAGTCTTGGAAGTGTCTACAAATTGACATACTTCTGACATGAAAATTATTTTGCTATTCAAAAATGCTAGTTCCAGATCTATTAAATTTACTCACTCTTTTAATTTCCCTTTGGAATAATATTTAATATTTGAATGATTTTCTTTATATTTTTAAATCAAATTCTGGCTTGTGGAGTAGTTTGATGCCAATGGGAATAATATATCTTTAGAAACTAATAAGGGGGAAAAACAGATTTAATGAAAAGGTACTTTAGGAAGTATTCATTCAGTTTTTCAGTTGCACTTGTCAAACCTTCAGAGGTTCTGTCTGAAGGATATTACAGCAACCCAGCACAAGGGAAATTGTTCTGGGCTTGCCAGCATTCATCTTGTCAAAGTAATATTTTCTTACTAATACCTAAAATAGCAGACTATTTTATCAGTAATATATTGGTTGGGGGGTGGGAATGAAAACATTAAAAATATTTGAATAACTATCAGAGGAGTTTTTGAGGTTCATTTAAATGACTAACATCCCTCAGAAATCTGTGAAATTGTTAGAAAATATATGTTTGCAAATTTATTTCTATTCAGGCTTTGTAATCTTAGCTAGTATTTTCTCATTACTTCTAATCATCTTTTCCTTCTTAGTTGGAAGTTCTAAATGAACTTTCTTTGGTAGTCAGATGTCACAGTCACAACATTCAAAACCAACTTGTCAGTTGTTTTTAGCAATAATTTTTTACTAAGAATTCTGTTTTACCACATCATACAATAACATTATTAATAGCCAAGTAAATGACAGATGCAGACATCATTAACATATTAGTGTAGCATCCAGAAAATGACAGCCAATTTTTTTAAAGTGGTTGAAGATAAGGCCAGGTCATTTGTCCATCTTTATTCCTGTTAAAAGCATGTGTTTTGTCAAAAAAAAAACCACACTGAAATAAAATAAAACTAAAGTTACAATGACTGTGGGTTTATATTTTTTAAATACCTATATTAACACAAATTCCATTGTCCCTCAGAATGATACCTCCTACGAGCAAAACATTTCTTGTCAATAACCTGGCCGCTGGAACTGTATATGACTTATGTGTCTTGGCAATTTATGATGATGGCATCACTTCCCTCACTGCCACAAGAGTCGTGGGTTGCATCCAATTTACCACAGAACAGGATTATGTACGTTGCCATTTTATGCAGTCTCAATTTTTAGGAGGCACCATGATTATTATAATTGGTGGCATCATTGTAGCTTCTGTGCTGGTTTTTATCATCATTTTAATGATCCGCTATAAAGTTTGCAATAACAATGGGCAGCACAAGGTTACCAAGGTCAATAATGTTTATTCTCAAACTAATGGAGCCCAAATACAAGGCTGCAGCGGAACAATGCCTCAGTCAATTTCCAAACAAGCTGTAGGACATGATGAGAACATTCAGTGCTACAAAGGTCCCAGTGAAAATGTGACTCAATCTTCAGACACTTGTTCAAGTCAGGACTCTTCCACCACTACCTCTGCTTTGCCACATACCCGGACTTCAAGCACTTCTGCATCCCAAAAGCAGAAACGAAAGATGGGGCCAAAGCCAAGTAATGATTCACAGAATGAAGCTCTTTCAAGTGTCGAGTCCCAAAATGCTAACAGGAATAACTCAACTGCATTGCAGTTAGTTAGCCGCCATCCTGATTCTATCAAAGACGTTCCCACATCTAAAAGAGCACAGTCAAAGACAAGTAAGTTTCTCACTGTGCCTGCTGAAAGATCCAGAGCAAGGCGCAGGTACTCTCTGAATGGAAAATTAATGGAATACCATTGTTATGTTAAGTCAGAGAACACAGGTGTATTGTGGTTTAAAAGAAGCATGTCTATGAATGGGATGGTAATTCAGGCAGGCATTTCTGACCTGGATAGTGGAAAAGCAACTTTTTCAAGATCTGAGTGGATTTTAGAAAGCACTGTGTGACCTGCTTTTTAAATTTTTTTAATATCATTCTTTGGGAATATTTTCATGGAAATTGGAATTTGGAATTCCAGTCTTGTCTTGCTGATTTATGGCTTATACATTCAAGTTTGTATAAAAAGCTGCCTAGGATCTGGTGTGTATATGTACATGGAGAATTAGGCACACGTACACACAATGCAGATAGCAACTAATGAGAGTGTTTAAAAATAAAGTTTATCATTGGAAGGGGAATGAAGTAGCATCAATGCTTTCCCCTACTGTAGGACTGGCTTCCTGGCTCTATGCTAACAGACAACAAAAAAGAAAGTTTTTGCAAGGAAAAAAATAACCTTTCATAAAGGAAATTATATTTCCTCCAAACTAACAAAGACCACTTATGGGAAAAATTGATATTTTTAAATGACAAGACTGTATATTTACTTCTGGTGACAGTAATGTTGCCTTCCTTTGAGGCAAAAGCTATACAGAACGACTCTGTGCTGGCATATTGTGTAAAATAAAATATTTAATAAGTATACACAATTGGTGTTAAAGTAAGTACCCTCTTAAACATCATTCTTGCTGCAGGTACCTTAGTGTATCTGTGGCATGTATCATTAGGAACTTCAATCAGTAATGTTCAACGGTTAAAAAAGAATTCAGCTCATTTTGTACCTATCACCAACAAGAGTCTAGGATGTGGGAATGAATAAAAGACACCAATTTCTAAATGCATGCATTTGGACATGTATGGGTTCTGTGTAAATGTAATAAAGGTTAAAGGGAGAGTCAAGAAGCCTTCCTTTTTCAAAGTAACATTTTAATCAATGTCTAAGAACGGTAGAAAAAAAACCAATTTGTTACATATGTAGGAGATTTAAAGCCATTCCTTATTAACAGAATCATTTGTTTTCCCCCTCTAAAATCAATAATGCAATAATATTGCCACTATTTTAAGAATTTTATTATTATTTTATCCAATAACTGTGATGGCATTTATTAGGAATCATTCTATTTAGCAACACTATAGCAACAAAATCTGGGTTAAATTTGATCAGACCCTGCCACCATCATTCAGGTAATTTGACATTACCCAAAAAAAGGATGCTTCTAGAGTTTGCATATTGAAAAATCTGCTACATCAAACATAAAGGTATTGATTATGTAACAGAGTCAGCTTAAAGACATGTTGTAGGAGGCTACTGGTTCTTGTGTGTAAGCTTTCACAATTAGCTGATAAGTAAAGTAAAAATCATGGCCAGAGTAAGTGAAATTGATTTTTACAATATGTAAACTACTCTGTAGCAGTAAATTAGACAGTTGGTAAAGCTTCTTATTCAAATCACTGAAGTATTTTGTTTTGAGACACAGCTATGTCACTTCTATATCTTGCTTAATTAAATTTTAAAAAAATTACATAAAGCAAATAAAGTAAATTCTAGGGCATGTGATTAACAGACCATCCTATTTGCATATAGTTTGCCATGTATAAGTAACTTAAAATATGTTACGTTAAGACTTTCAGAAACAAGTATAGATAAAATTTGTCAATGGGTGAAGTTTCCTCTGAATTCCTCTCACCTTCTTGTTTTACACCCCTACCAAATCCCAATTCCTCCCTATTCTTCTATCCACATGAATTCAGGTGCCTATTTTATGTTCCATTATTGAAGGACCTTGGTCAGTCATCAACTAATAATTCTGAAGGCCCTGAATCTTAGTAGGCACTATTGACTAAAAAGTCATTAAGACCTAAAGAAATAAATCAGTGAGTATGCAATAGCTAACATTCTGTGCAGTTGAAGTCTTTTTGAGAAAGAAGCACTGGGGGCAGCTGGGTGGCACAGTAGATAGAGCTCCAGCCTCAGAGTTAGGGGGACCTGAGTTCAAATTTGACCTCAGAAAACTTGACACTTACTAGCTGTGTGACCTAGGCAAATTACTTGACCCCATTGCCTAGCAAAAATTAAAAGAAAAAAGAAAAAAAGAAAGAAGCACTGCTACCCCTTAAATCAAATCACATATCTACCTTATTCACTTATAAATCCAGTCTTGATTACTTCAAGATGTGTTTTCAAAGTGCTCCATTATTTCTAAAAATCTTTTATTTCTTTCATTTCTAATAAAACTTTACTGAAATCTATCATTTCTCATTGACCTGCAGTTTTATGCTCTAGTGTACATTTTTGAGAGAAACACATAGTTTCTTACTTACCTGTTATGTACTTTAATTTTGTTGTTACATAGCCTCTTTCAAGCTTCATTTTCCTTGAAAATTGCATGATGTTACAAATGCTGATTCTATTTCTTCTCATGCAAATTTTACTAAATTTCAAAAAAAAAAATGAATTGAGCAGTCAATTATTTCACTTGCTCAAACCAGAATAAGAGTTAGAGCTAATTAACCATTCATTCAACCAGCCAACAAATATTTATTAGGTGCCCACTGTGTTCCAATAACCGTGGAAGGTATTGGGGATAAAAATACCTGAATTAAGTAACTCTTGCTCTTAAGGAGCTATACTTTCTCTGGAGTAAGGAAGAATAGTACCTGACCTTGGATAATTTCATTGTAAGAGGAGTGAAGCTCTTGAGTGAATTGGAAATATGATGGTAGACTGTGGTTGGAAATAAGTGAAGAGGCTCAGTAAAAGTAATCAGAGAATTAGATCTTTTCATCTGTTACCTTCTAGTTTCTTTATAACTGTCTCTTTTAATGCCTGTCCCTTTATCTTTGTTATTTTTTGCTAGTTTATTTTTAATTGGTAGTTGGCTATAACTATGGAACTGAAGTATACTTTTGTCTACTAGATACATTTTCATGTTCCCTGCTCTTAATATTTTAAAAATTATTATTCAGCTATTATATGCTATGGTTTCAGTTTCCTTAAAGTTTAAAAGAAATGCTTTCTGATCAATTATTTTTGGTTTTGGCCCTCAATTAATTATTTTTCTTCTATGACCCATGATGGTGTAGGAGGGTGGGGATGATTATCCAACTCTGATTTAAATATATACTGTAATTTCATAGTGTATTAGTATTTTTATATGCTAAATAGTATCCCAGTGGCCATAAAGAGTTAATGTAGTACTCAGTGTGATGGTTTGTTTTGTTTGTCTGTATTTCTTTGTTACAAGAGAAAGTTCTAGGAAGATAGGGATGGTTTACTGCAAAATGATAGCCATGTAAATGAAAGCATGAATAAAACTTTTTTTTAAGAAGAGAAAAAAAGTTTAATGTAGCTTTCAAGGGAATGCTTTATACCCTGGATTGCACTGCTTCAGTATTATTTGTTGAGGTGCCTTTGTTTGATGCTATATATCTGATTAAAATTGCATACACGTTCATATCTGCATTCATACACACATATATGTGCATATTGAAATAAGTGGGGGAGGGGAGAAGAAATTGGCAGCTGAAGTGTGTGTACTTGCACCATGTCAGAATGGTTCAAAGAAAGGTCCAAATGTTTTGATCTGGAAATAGGGTCAGAATAATACATGATTTGTGGGCATGCATGCGTGTGTGTGTGTGTGTGTGTGTGTGTATGTGTGTGTGTGTGTGTGTGTATGTCTGTGTGCAGGCAAACCCCAATAATTGATTTGGCTGAAAACTGTAGTCACAATGAATTGTGAACCATCTTGAAACCATGTGTATTTTACAGCCTACTTAGAAGTACCACAGGGCTGGAAGATACTTTAGAGATCATCTTTTCAACCCCCATCATTTTATGGATGAAGCAACTGGGGTACAAAGAGGAAGTGATTTCTGCAAGATCATACAGTGAAGTATAAATATTTACACATAGACAAATGAATTTTTTTTTCAAAATAATTTTTCCAATACAGAGAGAAATGTATTTGGGGCTTTTTATTATTTTTTTTTGGAAGACTTTTCTGCTTCACTTGAAATACTTCATATAATAGTTTCCCTGGATACCGACTAAAATAGGAATACTAACTTCTAGGATCTTCGCTTTCATCAATGTAGACCCTAAATTGTCATAGAATACAGTCCCCTTCCCTTAGCAGGTGGTTCCTGTGGCTAAAATATTAATCATGCAGTAATCAACTTTCTGCTGAGGAGCCACACCGAACTGAGCTAGGTTGCTCCTCAGATGAAAGACAATGCTGGACATATTCTCAAAGATTTCCAGCTTGTGCCTCACTGGCCTATCCTCAAAAACATAGGTGAATTTCATGCCATTATGAGGATTTAGAGTAGGATTTGATTTAAGGAAAATAAAAGTATTTTTTACTTATTATTCATTTTGCTAGTAATTAGTATCTTCATTAATAAAATGATATGCCCATTCCCATTTCTCACAATGTAGACATCATTTTAATTGCTTTCATATTCATTTTCCTGTTTTATTCTTAATCATGTAACAAAAACATACCTTCCTCCTGTACATATTTTTTTAAATGAATACATAGTTTATGCAGTTAAGTCTAAATATCTAAACATGCTTTAGTTTTCAAGTATCACAATGAAAGCTAACCCACTTCTTCCTGAAGGAGCACATGCCATTTCTGAATTGCTCTAAATATTTAGAAATTTTCCCTACATTAAGCCTAAATCTTCAGAACTTCTACCCATTTCTCACATATGGTACCAAGCAAAATTAGTCAACTAAATAACACACTTATTACCCTTCAAATGCTTAAAGCTGCTAGGTTCCTCTCAAATCTTCTTTTCTACAGGCTAAACATCCTCAGTTCCTTCAAACAATCTTCAAATGGTATTATTTTGAAACCTTCCACCATGTTAGTTGCCCTATCAAGCCCCCTTACAACTCTCTAGTATATCAATTTTTACCTAGGTGTCTACCATGTTTGTCCACGTTAAAATGATGAAACTTTTATCTAAACATTTAATTTTATACCAAGTATAGCAAAAAATTTTATTCTGTATTACATTTATATATTTTGTCATGAAGTTTGAATTTAATGATGAGTCTGAATGAAGACATAATTGGAATGGCTCTCAAAAAAGTATATCTCACCAAATTCTTCTATATACTATACTTGGTATGTATTTAATTACAACAGAATGCAAGTTCTCAGTAAAAAAAATCTGTTTCTAATTTCCTGTACACAATATTTTCTAAGGTTTCTTAATCCCCTCAATTCTTTCTTCCTCTGTGACAACTAGAAGAGTAGAATTCTTTACTCAAATAGAAAACACATTTTATTTGAAATATACTTTTTTAAAAGCCAGAAGCCTAGAAAGAATATATGTCATTTTACATGAAACTTGGACTAGGCATAAAATGATACTGTTCAAAAATCCATCAATAGATTAAAAGTGATAATAAAGCACATGACTTAATGATAATATACAATGTTCCTTTTGACGTAATGCATTTATCTAATGAAGTGCTATATGTGTAATATGAATAAGTTTTTTTCAAAATAATTTTACTAATGTAGAAAGAAGAATGTGTTTTGGATGTTTTATTGAAGAAATTTTTGCTTCTCTTTCAATAGTTTGTATAATAGTTTCTCTAGATAACAAACTCAAATAGAAATACTAATTACATTAATGTAATCATAAGTGTTTATATATCTGAAACTTTTGAAGTAACTGTCAGATTCCCTCCTATCATGCTGTAACAAAACATAGATATGATTGGCTATCAGAAAATTCCTTTTCCCCAAATTCTTTCCATTATATAGGTATGTACCAAACTTCACAAGGATTTGAGTTGTATGGTACAACTCTCATTTTCTTTGTTCTCAGATATTCTACAAAGCTTCTCAGTATGTCTGTGTCCTTGCAATGTGCTTCACCCTTTGACATCAAAGAAATGAGTGCTGGATGGGGGGGGAAGGGAATCTTTGAACTTTACAGAGAAATCTTATGCTTATTTGAAGGGAGAATGTGTGATTTCATGGCAGAGGTAGGAAGAAGAAAGAAAAATGAGTTTTAATATGAATAGATATGGAAATGAGTACTGAAATTGGGAAATATGTACTTTTCTTTGTCCCATATGATGATTAATGCTGTAAAGTGAATTTTTTTGGTAAATTTAAAAATAGTCTTTAAAAATATATATCCATGCAAGCCTGCACTTTGAATTATGATTAATAAGTAATAAAAAGAAGAGCAGCCTAATTCACATTATCATGAAAAAGCCTGCAATTCAGTGAATTAAATGTTATAGATATTTGAATAACCTTTATTAAACCTTTAAGTTTAATAAATTGAGAGATAAAGAAAAAAGCCATCAGATGTCAAAGGGGAACATGGTAGCTAACCAAAGCAGAATTTATACATTAAGAATAGTGGATGACTTCATCTATGATAACTTTTAAAGATGAAGCTTTTCCAGACTCTTAGGGGAACATTTAATAGGGTGTGCATTTTAATGAATAAATTAATTTTCATGAAATTAAAATTTTATTCCCAGATGCATTGCTGCCTAATGTTGACAAGATTGCCCACAACACACAGGTGAGCTTGCTATTGCATATTGAAGGCACTCTGTGATACTTATTTATATGACAGATACTTAGTTTTAAGTGAATTTTTGGTTTGTTTGTGGTACTTGTTTAATACAACGTGCTTGAATTTCATGTCAAAGCTTACTAATCTCATATATATTCTCAAAAATTAACGTCTGAAGGTATTACATTGACTGGATTTATAACCAGTCATTTCTGTGTTAACCATTAATCTATCTACTGTAGCACAATGTGTTTGGTGAAAAGAATGATTTTGTGTGTGACTTGAAGAATCAATCTCATTAATTCTATGCTCAAAGCTTGTCTAATTTACATTTTTATAAATTTTTCATGACCAATTAAAAAATTTGCAAAGAGAATCTTCATTTTTAAGTCCATATTTCCAGGGAGAGCTGAAAGCCTATGCTATGGCTCATTGACAGAT